TCGTTATTGTTCATGGATACATTTTTTGCAAAAAAGACTTGACAACAATTGTTATTATGAAAACAAATAGGTATAGGAAGGTATCAGGAAAACTTATGAGAGTCTTAATAGGATTCCAAAAATGACATAATATACGGGGTGTTACATTTGAAGCTACTACTTTCTGGTATAAGTGGCAACAATGTATTGATAAAAATATTTCAGACCGATAGAGCATGCTTGATTATCCAAGCCCACAGGTCGGAGAATGTTTCGTCTTTGTTGTACATAGAAATTGAAAAATCTCATCATCTTATTATTGTCCGGAAAATAGTAGATTGTTTTATTAGGATCAAAAGTACCACTTTGTTTGACAAGCGATTTTTGCATTTGCGAGGCAGCGTCTAGTCACTTCTGATCCGAATGAAACATGCCATTTTTTCTGCAACCGAAATAATTTAACTAAAATAAATATGTAAAGTAGCCACCAATGTGACTTACTCGACAGATTATTAAAATACATTGCACGAATTCAATACTATACCCGAAACGTGGATACCGTGTCATATGTGTGCAATGCAACAAATATTTCGTGTGGTGGGAATGTTTTTACTGCATTTCACCTGCATTTGCAGATCAGGTTTATTCGATTTTCAAGGATGTTCAAATTGCAGTTTCAATATAAATACAACCACAGAGTGACCCATTTGTGTATTCTATTGAATCGTAGAATTAATTTGGACCAGGTGTCAGCTCTAATAGCAAATACCGCGCCAGTGCCAGCTATAGGAAAAATAAGTAGAAAATGTTAGGTTAGTGAGCATTCCAACAATAGTAATAGCGATTATTTATATATTTCCATATTCCACTGTGTTTGGCTCGGTAATAAAATGAAGGTGAACAATATCGTTGTGTGTGACAAAAAAGTATTGCTGGCCGTGATTTTTCAATAACAAGTTATCCAATCAATCAGATCCCGAGAATAACGAATGAAAATAATGAAATACAGATGAAGCAAGTATGTGAATCTTGACGACTTTCCTGATCAAAACAAAAATACTTAACCAAGATATGGTGAATTTATATCCCACTATGAATATGAAATGCCAAATCTGCCGAAATCGGGAACAAATCAGGTATGCGTCCCAATCCAAATAACCAACCGTAACAATGTTGTTTATTCTTGATGACCTGGTACAGTGGTGCTCAAATTAAAAGTAACGACTCTTGGTCGAATTGAAATATTTTTGTCTATGCACACGTACTATTCATTGCCTAGGAACCAGGGTTGAAAAAAAAACATGTATTTTTTAATTTTATACAAAACACATGTTTTTTTTGTTTTAAACGGTTTTTTTTGTTTTATACATTGTTTTTTTTTGTTTCTGAATTTTATGATTTAAACAAATAAAACTTAGAAAAAGACATTGTTCAAATCAAATTTTTTCAAACATAATATTAATTCAGAGATTAATTCGAAATGTTTGATATAATAATCTTATTTAGTATTAGTCCAGTAAATAATAGATTTCTTATTTGAAGTCAGACTCTGTATACCAAACTAAACTGTCGAGGATGTGCCGGTGAATCCCCGAAATAAGAAAACCAATTGCGATGAGGACTGTTGGCCTGGGGGAACCACAGACCATTTATAAATTCGCATTGCCAGTGGGCTATACAGTGTGTCCCACTTACCATGCTCACCATGGGTATCTTTTCAATGGTGAGAGATAGGAGGTCGGTTAAATGACACCAAATGTGGAGTTTTGTTTTGAACAAAAACTGTTTAAAACTTGAGCACATGTTTAAAACATGTTTAAAACAGTTGATTACAACAAAATGTTTAAAACAAAACAACCCTGCTAGGAACGAACCGTTTCCCTCATTAGCATTTTATGATCTGGTTCGCGCTGTAAAGGTATTAGAGGGTATACCCAGCAGTATACCTAGAGGTGTTATAATAATAATTATTGGAACGTGAAAAATAACAATGACAGAGTTCTTCTTTGGCAACTACAATGAAATGAATAGGAATTTATCTGGACTGCTTCACTTTGATTCAGTTTTGTTGAGAACGATATAATATAATTAATTATAACTAGAATCCAATATTGGAATGAAGGGATTTAATTTCAAACTATACAGGGTGTAATTCAATTTATGGCTAAAAATATAGGACATGGTTCCTCAGCTCATTTTGAGAAGAAAAGTTGATATAAACATATGCCCTAAACCTCTCAACTTCCGAGCTATAGGGTGTTGGAATTTTTATGAAAATAAGCATTTTCTTATGATAACTTCGACATACTATTCTAGATATTCTCATGAAATTTGACATGCACCAACTGAAACAATGTGGTGTAGTTTGTAGGTAAGATGTGTTTTTGTCTAATTTTTATTGAAGTGAAGTCGTTGATTGAATTTGCCAAAATGGTTTCATCATTTTCAAATATGTAACTCAAATTATTGTAAAAGGAATGAGAATTGCATTTATTTTTCAGAAAAATCTCCAGTGTTTACATCCCATACGGACACGAACTGGCCATCAGTGCTTAGTAGGTGCATGTCAAATTTTATGAGAATATCTAGAACAGTATCAAAGTTACTATAAGAAATTTTTTTTCTCAAAATTTCAACACCCTATTGCTTTAAAGTTAAGAGGTTCAGGGCATATATTATGTTCATATGAACTTTTCTCAAAATGTCTACATCCTATATTTCTAACCATCAATTGAATTACACTTTGTATAACCAGGAGAAAAAGATAGATAAAATTGTAATGAAACAATAAAGATATAGTACTGAATTTTATGATTTCACGTTCATTCAGGTAACCCATTCATTTTCAATATTATGCTGAGTTGAATAAAACTCTGAAAATTTTTGGGTAAATCCGAGGATGAATCTGGCATAGCGCACTTACGAATACGGAAAGAAAATAGAATTCCCTTATTTCCAATAGAACACCACTTTTTTTTTTTCATTATTCATTCTACATATTACTCTGATATAAACCATAAAATATATAAGGTAATTCATTACTATTTTTAACTGTTTCAGAGTAATAACGATTTTTGAGAATATTTTTGAAGATGATTTTCTTTCAAACTGAAACACTGAAACTCTTGATTTCTTACAAAGGAGAACTGGTTCACATAAAATGCTCTTTCGAGTGGAAATATGAATTTCATAAACAAGGATATCTACAGTGTGATTATTATCAGCATGCAGATCATAGATTTCAAAACCAAAATAACATTTTATACTGTTGAATATATAAGCACAAAGAAATATCGATAAGTGGAAAACTTCTATAGTTATTTTACTCGGCTATAATTATAAGGTATTATTTTTTGATCATGAAGGATTTAATTTTATTTATTTATATAGAAAAAAAAGTCAAAAATACACATCAAACATTCTGATATTCAACAGTGCACTGCATGTTATGTTCTGTGACCACGTGCTATATATACAGTGTGTCCACTTTAAGAACTTTACCACCGCCTGTAAAATCCGTATTATCTTATCTTTTTTTTGTTGTATAGGTATTTGAAATATCCATCAAACAAAAAAAGTGATTTTATTCTTGGACTGTTATCGTGGCCATCAACTGCGACCAATTTTATTGACCCATATTTCGTAAATTACTATTGGGGATTTTATTTTTTCACTAAAACTAATGATAGATGATGAACCTAGATCACTCAATGTAACCCTGTACCGATTTTCATCGTCATAAAACAAAGAGTGTTCGAAAAATCGGATTAATAGATATATTTTTTGTATACTTGATCAGAAAATGTAGTACTGTGGTATGTTTGGAAAGAACTGATGTCAAATGGATATTTAGGACTACTTCGAACATATCAGCCCCGATTATTATCATTCAAATATACAATGTGTCTGAGAAAACAAAAAGGGTGGGTAGGCAATTTTTTCATCAACCAAAAAATAATTAAAAAAAAATTCGGACACCCTGTATTTTATGATGATGAAAATTAGTACAGGTATGTTCCGAGTGATCTCGAATGAGAATCCGTCATTATTTTCTAGGTATAGAATCATGCATCATGAAATATTGTCTACTTATTCGGTTCGGTTCAGTATCTCCTATGTCCTTTGAGATATCAAATTGATGACACAACACTGTTCTGAAGCAAAGTAATATTTTTGTGATTAACGGACATGGGAGACACTGAACTTTATCAAATCGATCAATAACCCTGTTTTTCAAATTTATCTGCACGATTTATCGAAGCTCAAGTATTATACTTTGAAAATAAAATTTCTGGAAGTAGGTAGATATTCGCGTTTCAAGATAATTATGTGTATACCGTTTTCATATCGCACATGCTGATGAGAATTATTAGTTCTTATATCAAAAATAGGTATTCAGAGAAAAATAACTCTTAAGAACGATTAAGAAATATGATTTCATGGGAAAAATAATTGGAGGATATACTAACGACAACTTCAATTAAAAAAAAAAATTAATTATACCGATGCCGCTTTATTCAAGAAGTACTTCAACTATATCTATCAATCCATAGAATCAACTAGAATCAAACAATGAATAACCATGAGTCAGCTTCATAAGATGAAGCATAAAATATTACTCTAGCGATGTGAATATTAACCCCAAATCTTAGAAATATTCAGATATCTGACTATCTCGTACCACAACTCACCATAAGAAATAAGTGATTGAAACAGCGGGCGGTTGGAATAGATATTAGTCTGGGTGCATAAACTGAAATTTTAAAGGGATTTTCACAGAAGTCGTTACTTTTAATTTGAGCCCCACTGTACATCCTTTTCAGTTCCTAGGAGCTGAAGTTCAACTTCAGCTGCTAGGAACTAAGATTGTTTGTGTCAGTAATAGAAACGTCAATTCAAGAGCTGATTTTGGTATTAAAATGGACGACTTTTGTGTCGGTTGCAGAAAAAAAGAATTCTGATATCTTTGAAAATCAGGAGGCTTCTACATGATTGTTTTCGAATGTGTGTTTTTGTTTCAGGACTCTTTTATTATTACGAAGCCATGCTATCAGCGGCGAAAAACCTGAGTTCTGTATTCGCTGATCTGGAAGTGATAATTTATAAGACCTATTCAGTGTGTTGGATCGACTTTAATACTTGTGTGTTCATCAGATACTTCTTCGAAACCGACTTTGTGCAGAAGAAGATATATCATTGTTTAGAGGTATGCTATAGCAAACACTATTTATCCAGCGATAATATTTCAGATAGTTTTTACAATGATGATTCATTACAAACAATGTGTTTCAGTTTGATCCACTTGAATTTTTGCACTTCTTGCTTCCCCCGATCACCCATGCAAACAATGTTCATCAATCAAAATGTCTACTCACTGAATCGAAAGCAGGCGTTTGTTGCCTCCTCAGTTCCCTCATTTAAGGAAACAAAATTCAATAATTTACTCCCACGGAAGGAAAAAATGTTGGCTTCAGCATGCATCCATGGTGTTGGTATAGGTACCTATAAGATCTGGACAATCAAAGTAATCACTATTATAAAACAAATAACAATTCCCCTTTTGAATTCCATTGATCTCATACATTTCCTCATATTCCGAACATACTCAATCAAAACTTCAAATTGCAGTTACACAATATACAAATTCATTAATTCATGATGAGACAAATTGATTTTCGTTCAAATACCGTCAGTTGTATATGACCATACTATACCTTTGTAATGCATATTGATTTTTGATCGAGACAAGGTGTCCCAGAACAACGTACCATAAATTCTACAGGATGAACTAGACACCAAAATAGACTGATTGAAGTCAACTTACCTCCATACGAAAATGCACCGTTGAGTCCTGAGAGGGCGATGAACAATAATTTTATTTACAGATTTTCCGCACTTTTTCTATATAAAAATGGTGTTCTGTCGAATTCTCTGAATTTCTGGTATATTATAGAACTCGACCTAATGATCAAATATGCCGAGTTCCAATCCGATAATATGACCAGTTTTTGAGATACAGGGTGTTGAAGTTGAGAAATTCCCCCTTTTCATCTACCCATATCTCCAAGAAAAGACAAATGAATAAGAATTTTCTGCAAGCAGTTTCTCAGTGTTACCTTTAGTCACAACAACCATGAACAGAATCAACCAAAGCTGATCTTTATCACAGGGTGATTCACATCTAAATTATTGTGTTATTTTCAATTTCTAAACATCGTTATTACAACTTGATAAAAATCAAAACTATCATTAAATATGTTCTTCTTACATGAAATTGATTCATTTTATGTATTGATTATACATGGTGTTTCGTGAATGCTGATGTTTAAAAAATAAAGTTTAATGAGCCACCTCGTATTATTGGGTTGATTTAGGCTATTGATTATAATTTTCTAGGATACATTATGATGCATTTCATGGTATACAGAGTGATTTATTGATTAAAAAAATTGCCAACAGAAGAGGTGGGTATTCCGAAGCTTTGCCGTTCTACAGACGAACAAGTGTTGGTAAAGTGTTGTTCGACATATATCTAGGTTGACTACGAATGGATGTGCTGACTGGGCTTGTCGAGTTTGTTGGTCTTGCTAGTGATGGAATAATGGCAGAGATTTTTCAGGAACATTTCCCGTGGAAGTATCTATAGAAAAGTGAGAGGTCGCCGAGTTTTCTACGGTGTTCTAATGAGGTCAGAAAACTAGTGAGTGTGGCATCACCCACCAGACGAGTGGCTGGATGTGCTGACTGGGCTTGTCGAGTTTGTTGGTCTTGCTAGTAATGGAATGATAGCAGAGATTCTTGAGGAACATTTTCCTTGGAAGTAGGTATCTATGGAAAAGTGAAAGGTCGCCGACTTTCCAACGGTGTTCTAATGAGGTCAAAGTATTTGTGAGTGGCATCACCCACCAGACGAATGTCTTTTCTCTGGATTGAATCTAAGACCATCACCGTATGTTTGGGTGCCTAACCTCATATGTGAGAAAAGTATTCCAAAACTGGCCGTATTTGAGCTTTGTAGATCTTGAGAATCTGTTGAGATGTAAAGTAGATTTTCGCAGGGAATAAAAATCCGAGTTTTTGTGAAGCAGCTTTCGCGATGTATCGGGCATGATTTTCCCATGAAAGATTATTGCTGATGGATATAGATATAGTAGACCTGGTGGAAATGGTGGTACCAGACATTGATATTTCAGGCATAATGTGTTCCGCCTTTCTAGAGAAAACGCAGGCTTGAGTTTTGGTGGCGTTGAATTCAACTAGGTTGTTGGTTCCCCAAGCTGTAATTTTAGCAGGATCTTCATTGACAGCGTTGACCTGCCTCTGTCTAAGAACATATTAAATAGTTAATCAATTACAAGATCCAGTTTTTTTTTCTTATATGAACTGAGTGAAGTTATAATCATTCTTCTTCATTTTTGTAGACCAAAATGAGTCCAGGCGACACTCCGCCGATGTTTGGTCTACTTGAGGATTTGAAAAATTTATGGATCAAGGAACAAAAACGTATTAGGAAAATCAAGTAAGTGAAAATAATTTGGAATATTTGTATTGTATTTCATTGTTTCATAGTTCTCAATCTCCTTCATATGATGGTGTATCAAAGCATTATATGGTATGGAGATACTCATCTTCGTCTAACACAGCGTTTCTGGTATTGATTTGTCTTCCTCTAACACATTATTCAGTGCAAAGTACCTCCTACATAATTAAATTGCTCTTATTCTAAATGCATTATCAGTTATATGGAACCAAAAATGATAATTAAGCAATTGTTTATTATTCGATGAAATAATATTTCTCAATTATGATAACACAATTTAAGTCTCATGAAATATCAGCGATTCTTTTTCAGAAAGGTTGTTTTTTGTAAAATACATGAAGTTGGACTTATCAACATTTAGGGTTAACAGATTTTTATCGAGGCATTTTTTTACTGAACATGAGGTGGTCTCAGCTTTATTATACACTGAATTCCAAGAGACATCCTCAAACAGCAAAGCAGTGTCGTCTGCATAGTAAATCACCTTTTCCTCAGATGAGACTGGGGTCAAGATGTCTATATATATGATAAAAAATATTGGCCCCAGCACAGTGCCCTGGGGCACACCACACTCCGCAGAACAAGGATCACTGAAACATTTGCTAATTTTAACTTGTTGATGCCTGATATTTGTCTGTTTATTTAAAAAAAAATTTTTGATGATGGCCGCTCGAAGAAGAAACGTCGGATTTACAATTTGACAATTCTATTTTCTAGAGGAGGAAAAGTGACAATAATGAAGTGACATTCATTTTGACATATTTCTTCGAATAAACTGAGTAATAAATAAAAACGATTTTGCTTTTCCTTTTTTCCGGATATCTCTAGAAATAATTGAAATTTTTCCAATTTCAAAGCAGAATTTTGTTGAGCAAGAAATGGTGCAACTTTGGTCTAATTTAACCTACTCTGCATCTCTCAAGGTTACCGAGATCTCCATGCTTAGCCAGGAATTTGTAACACCCTGTAATTAGAATACTATGAATGAATAATAATAACACGAAGATATCGTAGTTCGTGAAATGTGTATCTTCCCAATGTTAACAGTGAAATGGTGATTGATTTTCTGATTTCCTTCTACAAACATCTTGTTTTTGAGAGCTGAAATGAGAAATCAAAAACCAAATGGTCTAATAGTTAACAAACATACCTTCTTTCTTATTCACATTGTCGATGCCTGATAATTGCCAAACAACAATCGAGAACAATCAAGATGGATGAATCTCCAAACATTGTTATTAACATCATAAGCAAGCTTTTTATCTCCGAAAGAATAAATAAAGATGGGGAATGATTGTTACATAGCTTTTCTACAATTATTAACAAAGTATCACAATTTTGACATTTTTCATTAAATATCATTACTTGACAGTATTTTCGCTAAGAGCGAAAATAAGGAAAAAACGCTAGCATCGCTTCCACGAACCTATTCTTGCATACATACGTGTTACTGACTTATTTCGGGGAGAAATTGAAGACTCTGAAGCCATCCAAATAAATTTCAATTATACTTTGAACTCTTTGTAATAGGAGAAACAGTATCTTTATTTTTTGGTTCGATAATCCAATCGTTGGAGACACAAAAATGGGTGTTTTTGTGCAAAAAGTTATAAAGTTTTGCAACTTGGTAGGATTGTAGGCTTGATGGTCCTGGTTATAACCCTGAGTGCGTCTCGGGCGACCGTTGCTCGTTCCGCCACCTTGAAAAAAATTCCACCTGAAATCAGTGTTTGGCGTATAACTTCATTTCTGTAGGTTTCAGAGAAAAGATTGTGACAATAGGCTGAGAAGTAGACAAAAATTCTGAAGTTTCATAAACATACGAATTAAATCTACGAATTATCATGTTTGTGGTATGTTGCATGATGTAACATTTTCTTCAAATGTCCTCACGACACCTTTTCATAAATAGCCGTTGCCGTTTTAGTAGGTACTAGATTCAGTACTCTTGTTGATTGGGCAAACTTTATTTTGTCTCTAGGATTTAGTATTTTTCAGTTGATTTTAGTTCTTTCAGTATGTATGTAGGTTAGGTTATAGGCAATTCCATGTGAGTGAAGCAAATACCACGTCCAACGCGATCCCAAATGGATTACTATATGGCTCAGTTCACTGAACAATAAAATTTCTTCCGTGGAGTATATGCTTTGGAATTGGTAAGTTCTGAATTGGTGAATTGGTGAAACCCTATATGTAACTCACACGAATTCCCGATGTCAATAACCATTCAGCCAACACAATTCGACAGAGATGTAGATGCCCCACTTGGCAATTCTGATCACACACTCATCTCCACAACCTGCCCTGCTCGGGCACCCCCACGTCTTATTGACTTTATGATTTAGGAGACTGGAACGGTCCCCGCATGTGTTTCTTCGAGTTTCCTTGACAGAGAATATTCTTTGATTCTGATGATCCTACACAGTGTGCTGCGAAAATATCCGAGATTGTCACGGATACCTCATTCTTCGAAAAGATCATCACCATCAAAAAACTGCTTCAACAGGAACTATTCTAGAGCTGTTGCCTTGAAACAAACAGCCTGCCATCGCTGGCGCAAAAACCCTAACCAAGTGACTATAGCAGAATATGTTGAAGCCAGGAATAACTACTGCCGAACAATGGATGCATCAAAGCATCAACAGAATCAACAATGACAAAATAAGATCAAAACTCATAAATTATCCCAATGGGTCCCGTTCGTTTTGGTCCCTCGCTAAAGCGGTCGGAAGGAATTTCACTAATAGGTGATTCCCATCACTCTCCAAAGCTGACGGCACATCGAAAAAGAAAGCAAACATTTTTTCCACCTTAGATTCCCAGGGAAGAGTGCCTCTAGACATTCCACCTGTTGGAAAGTCGAATGCCCGAAATCGTCTTTCGTCAACGCACTATTAGACGCATTCCGCTCGGTCTCAAAACGAATAAGACTAACGGCCCTGATGGAATTCCACCCATTATTCTCAAAAAGTGTGCACCAGAATTGACACCGATTCTCTGCAAGTTATTTACCATCTCGTACATGTCGGGTATTTTTCCATCTTGCTAAAAAATAGCTAGATAGAAATATCTGGAAAGCTCAGGTCCAGGAATCATTAATGACAGACAATATGGCTTTTGCCACCGAAGTTCAACTGCATATTTAATTGCCTATGTCACCGATATATGGCAAGTTTCATGAGAGGAATGTGGAGAATCTCTAGCTGTGGCGTTAGATATATCTAAGGCATTCAACCGTGTTGGGTACCAAGGACTCCTCCACTAACTATCTACCACCTATCCTATCCACCACCTATCCTATCCACCATCTATCAGCTATGCCATCTTTCATTCAGATTCCTATCAGCGAGATTGCTCCTTGTGGTGGTGGACGGATCCAGACTATCGTTCGTGTCATCGACTTATGGCACTTGGTGTTCCAAAACATGAGTAATAGTGAGTAAGATATATGACAGGTTCTAAATGCGCATGCTTCATAGATCTGGTCGATCTATCTCGTGAATGGATGAGATTGTCTTGTTTTATGTCATTAACGGCTTAGTAAGGTAGTCAATGTCGGTGTTGTGGGTACTGAAACTTCTTCAATAACAGCTAGGCTATCAATATTTTTTGTTGCAGTGACGATCACAGTTTAGTAGAAGGTACAGTTCCATACTATATCGAGGAAGCCATGATAGGAAACCATAAAAAAGTGCTCACCAGCAATTTTTGGATGGAACGTTCACAAAAAGAGTGAGTGGTACATTTATATATATTTTCTAATTCAACTCCCAACTGCTACTAAGATAAACTAGTAATAGGAAATGTCTCGGAATTCACGTTTATTGTTATTAACATAGTGAATGAGGACATGTTTAAACAACGGAAATCGAAATGAATCGTGCTAGTGTGGTTCAGTTAGAAACGGCATACATAATTTGACAACAACCATACTAAAAACCTCCAAGTTCTCGCATTTATTCTATGTTTAAAGCTTGTTATAAAGAAGTTATAACATTGATTGGACAGATACAAAAATATATTCGAAAAACCCTCAGACTAAATAACTATCATTAAAAATCGAAAAGTTTATGTCAACAATCCTAAACGCCAAACATAGATTAATGAATGAAATGGGGGATAGTGGGGAACTGCGAAATCATTGCCAGAGAATTGATATATTACATGGGTGAACTAGAGACCAAAATAGGCAGATTGAAATCAATATGGAAATGCACCGTTCAGCCGTGAGAGGGCGATTTTTGATAAATTGACCAGCAATCACAATGTCCATAGTGTTGAACTTGAGCTCAGTACACATGAAGGGTCTACCAACGAAAACTGGACTCATTTGAAATTTGGAAACCGATTTCTTTTTTTTTTCAAAACTTTCCGAGACTCGTCAATTTCTATTTTTGAGGAAGCATTTTTGACAAGCAAGACGGGAGGTTACGTGAAGCAGGCCGCGGAGAAATAACTTGTCGACTAAACGACGTATTGTAGTCGTAGCGATGAATTCATCATGTCAACTGATTTTGTCGAATCCATTTCACCCCTATTTCACTTCCATCAATGAACAAATTTTGAGAAATTGTTATTTCGACAAAAAAGTCTTGTTAATTTTTTTTTCTTGGTGAAAACTTCAAAAGATATACCTACTATGAAATAAATGTATGGCGTCTCATGATCTTTATGCATCCAATTCACCCCTTTTTACCCCAAAAATCGTTAAATAATCATTATTTTGGAAATAATATATTGCTGTTAATTTCTTCCTTCAAAAACATAAAAGATACACCATGCAATTAATTCATGGTGGTTTTTGATTTTGTCGCATCCATTTGACCCCTTTTCCACTCCATAAAAACCTGTCATTTCGATTTTGGATTTTTTTATTGAAACATACAGTCCTTTTTTCACCCCGAAAGCCAATAAAATCATCGAAAAAAATCTGTAATTTTGAATAGGACGAAAATGTCCTAATTTTTTTATGGAAAATATATGTCCCATGAAATTAAATTCATAATTTAAATTTATCTCCTGTCATAGTCGCATTCAATTTTTCCCTTTTCCCTTCCCAAAAAAATCGAAAAAATCGGATATTTCTTTGTGTTGAATAAAGAGGTGCTATGGATTGCTTTTGTCAACAAATACGAAAGAAATACCACGAAATGATTTCATGGTGTCTTATGATTTTGTCATATCAATTTTACTCCTTTTTCACCCCGGAAATCGAGAAAATCTGAAATATTGTCATTTTGAAAAAGAAAAAATATATTGCTGTGAATTTCTGCTGCTATAAAATATGGAAGATATAACATGGAGTGAATTCATGGTGTTTTTGATTTTGTCCTTTCAATTTGTCTCCTGATTTTGTCGCATACCATTTACCCCTCTTCAATTTAATTTGTCATTTTGAATAGGAAAAACATCTTGTGTAAATTTTTGTGTAAAAAAATACAAAATATAATTTCATGGAGTCCTCTGACTTTTTCGTATCCATTTCAACTTTTTTTTATAATCTCAGACATGTGCATGTCTATTTGAGACCGAGTACCACTGACGAGCTCTCATAGAGCAAAACAGCTGATTGATTTCTGACAAATGAAAATTTCCACGTTGTGTTGAATCTATTCATGATATTTGTTCTCTAAAAGTAGTTTTTTAAATATGCTAAAATATTGGTAGGTATATGTTTCCGAAAAAAAAAAATATATCCTAAAATCCTTTCAGACTTCTCTCTTTTCCTTCCTTCTATTCCTTCTCCTTTTCTACATTAAAGCTTATACATCGAGTTTCGCTCACCCTGTACAGTGCATCCCATTTTGGTTGCAGTTTTCACGTTCCTTTCCTACTATTCTTCTGAAACTGAGGTTGGCCTAATCAGATGATGTTCAAGAGTTTCCGTTTGTGAGTTACAGGGTGATTTCGAAAATGTAATCAAATTTATATACATTCAAAATCTGTTTTTTATACTGAATGCCGTCTAGGCCTATGTAAAATGAAACAGTCCCAACCAATACCAATAATTATGACAAAAACGTCAATAAATCCTTAATCTTTCGACTGCTCTCTTGTTGATATGGCTCAATCGAATAAAAAAAATATATACCGTTTTTAGAGATTCAAAATAATGTGTAACTTGACCCCTTGTATAATTTGAAAATTTTGTGAGGGTTCATCTGTAATTGGTTGAAAATTTTTACGAAAAACATATTTTTGTTATCATTGTTTTCATTCCATCATAGGCTTCCACTCTGTATATTATATTGATTTGGTACCAACTTATATTATGTATTATGAACTACCTATGTATTACTTCCTATTTATTTCCTATTTATTTGTTGTTTTTTGATACCTACTTTTTATGATTTGTGAAAATAAGTGAATTAGTGTTAGTATTTTTTTTGCCTAATCTACTATGAATATAATCACCACAAATGAGAACTCTTCAACTGATACTCCTTTTATAATTATATGAAAAATCTACAGCACACTAGTGAGAATTCATCATAGTTTGATGTTTTAGTGTTTTTTAGCATTTCTGGAGATCTTAATGATGAAGTATCATGCATACATCATTATTTTGAAGGAAAAAAATATAATATTCAACGAAACACTAAAATACAATATTCCATTGAAAACAGTTTGTGTCGTATCTCCAAAACCAGACAAAAAAAAATTGAGTAGACGTAGTTCTCAGCGCATCATTTCGTAGATATGGAAGAGAGGTCCCAAAAGTATAAATTTTGAAAAACTCTGTACCTCATAAACGGAAACAGTTAAATAAAACGATCGATTCATCTTAAGTTTCAAAAAAAGTAGGACAGAAACGTGAAAACCACAATGCTCTGTCTCAATCAAAATGGAATGTATTTTACATTCACTGAATAAACTCTCGTACCCCAACATGTGAACCTAATTAATTAAATCTTCCATGATTTTGTGAGATTAACAAACATGTGTTCCTTTTTTTTTGTTTTGACGCCATATTTATGACTTTGCAGGAAAGATGATTTAGATTTAAGGAGGTTAGACCATCACTTCTTTCGATTACTAAGTGACCCATTTTTCCATCCAGCTGGACCAATTCTGGATCGGAACGGCCAGTGTATATGCGAGGAATGTTTGATATCGAAATACGAATGCATGTTGGAGGCTGACAAAGATCAGGTCAACGAGGAGTTTCTGAGGAATGTCAATCGTGTGTTGTACTGCCGAAGGTGTCAAAGCCTTGTCGATCTGGAGTCGTTTCATCAACATATTAATAGTAAGTTCAGCATCAGCATGTTAACCTTAACAATAGGCAAGAACACTCATTTCTAGAAAAAAATACTATGACGTTCATTAAGTTGAGAAAAAGCACAGGACATTTTTTTGAATTTTCATTTGTTCTAGATTTTCCAAAATAAATTCCAATCATGACAAAAAAATCGTCACTGTTACTGACGTCACAATAAGTACTATAGCGCGCCGACCGTCTATTGGTGGTAGCGACAAATCGAATCCATCAACAGCAATGCCGTCTCAACCGATTCTTTAGCTTGTTTGTATATAACATCCACAGCTCTCATGATTTAACTGGTTTCAACAATGTCATGTATGAATTGAGCAAGGCAACTTTAAACTTGTTCTTCTTCCATTTTTAACCGGATTGTGACACATTACCATGGATATTAGAGTGATTTTATGAAAATTTCCGGTTGTAACACCGAACTCTATGGACAGTGATGCTAAATTGACTCTCTTATCATATTTTATATCCCTTCGCTTTCTAGGCAACATACAGGGTGTTTTAAAATTCAGTATTAATATTTCTGGGACTTATTTTTCAGGTCAAACTAACGTTTTTCTATAAATATGTGTCGGCAAACGCTTCGTTTGTACAGAGCATTCAAGTTTTAATATTTCCTTATTATTCGACACCTCTTATAAAAAATCGAGGTTTCTTATTTTTCAGGCAATGTTTGGAAACTTATCAATAATATCACAAACTCAATATGTAGCGTTTTTGTTTTGATCATGATCTCCCTTTTGTTGAAAATATATAAAAGTTTATGTAGCGAAAAAGTTGCTGACCCCTGAAAAAATATCTTCCTGTAGATTCTGACAATCACTCAACATACTGTATGATTTGAACGCAAGAATGTAACCTATGGTTCAAATTCGATCTGAATATCTCGAAAACAAAGTGTTTGCTGACACATACAGAGTGACCCAACTGAAAGCGGGCAACCCTCATAAAACTTCTTTTTATAAAGCGATTTTGACGAACTTTTTTTTTTAATGCCGATGTAAAAAAGGTGAATTCTGGAGCTAAGTGGTGTCCACTTTTTCTAAAAACCAAGGCCTACTGGATCACATTCAGAGGCTGAAGAATCCAGAATCCACATTAGCGTTTTTTTTTTTTTCAGAAAAAATCTGCGTGAGCCACTAGAGTCGACGTCCTCTGAAATAGATCTGTACCAAGTTTCAAAAATATTCAACATTAACAATTATGTAAAATTAGTAAAACATTATTCATTATGCTTTCTATGTAGTAGTAACCCATGTAATATGAAATGAATTACGACTTTATTCAACAGAAAATATCAAAATAATATTGAATCAACACACATGAATTGATTTCAGATTCTGTGTTTTTCAATATTTTTTAATTGAATCCTATGAGGGGAGTCATCTGTGACTTTAGTAATTGCAAAGCCTACAAGCTTCTTAATGCATGATGAACAAATTGTCAGTAATTTAGTCATACAACCGTTGATGTTGAATATTCATGAAACTTGGTACAGATCTAACTCAGAGGATGCCGATTCCAGTGGCGTAAACGGATTTCATTTCTTCTGAAAAAATCGATAGAGCCCTGGCTCAAAAAACGCCTTTTTTCCTTCCACATTTCAGGAAAAAAATCTTCAAAATCAGTATATAAATAAAAAATCTATGAGGGTGGCCCGCTCTCAAATAGGTCACTCTGTATGTATGGGAAAAAGGTCTTATATTGATCTGAAATTAAAACTGATTGAACTTCAGAAGATGCTAACATAGTTAGCAAAACACATGTCGAGGTATAAAAAGTCGGTTTGGTTAGTGGTGAAACAGGCTGTAGTGTAAGAACATATATTTAATGTTACTAAGGAAATACTGGTTCTTCTTCCTATTCATCATACTAGCCACTAAAACTTTGTGGTTCCACTTTTCTGATATCACCTGATGCAGTATTAAAAGTGATTATTACATCAACAATAAGGAACCCTAGATAGGCCGGACGCTAATATAAGCGTTATATTTGGAGTGCCGATGTGACCCGAAGATAGCTTTTTTATGTACATCGACGTTCAGAAACTTCGAAGCCACGTTGCCAAAGTGCGGATACTTTATCGAATGTTTATACATTTTGCCTTTGTTCTTTGTATCCATTCACTTCAGATACTAAGGTCTATTGATTTCAACACTCTGAGGGTATAACTGTTAAACGGAGCTATTATTTGGAATCAGCATTCTGGACCTGGAAGCAAAATTATATGTACTACGATTTAAAATGTTTCACAGTTTCACCGTTGTACAATATAAATTGTGGGATAGTACCGTCAACGCCGTACCAAATACCGATCTATTGGGATTTTAACCTTCATTTTCCCGCGCTGTCATTCTGTCCAAAATGATATGTTTTTGACGCCAAGTGTGATATGTCAAAATATTAATTTGGCCAGAACGACTCGGAAGATATGTTTCTACCATATTCGGTTGTATAAACAAATAATCATATGATATTCAGTCACATAATTGAATGAACAATTATTATAACCTTCAATACTACTTCCGAATAATCACACTTGATGATCACGTGATATATGCCGTCAGATGGCACATTGCCTAGCATTAAAGCACAATACAGTCATCAACACAGTAGCGTCGACAGTGTGGTTGATTTCAACATCATGCTCAGAAATTGGTTCCTGTGAAATTGTCAAAGTTATCATGAATCTGTTTTGATGATATTATTACCAATCAAATTTATTATCTGAAATTAATAGGTGTATTATTTTTTTATTGGAATTGAGAAATAAGAATTCAATGCGTCTTTTATGAGTACTGATATAATATTCCTGAATTTTTAAACCACGTTTGACCTTACTGGAATTCAAAATGACCATTACAAAAAGTGCACATGCATTTACATGGAGAATTAGTAATGATAGAGAATGTTATTCAAAAATGTACTCTCTGTATAAGAAATGATAACAATAACAATAATATAGTGTTGGAGGAACCAATGAGATTGTTTATAGTAGATATTGAAATTGAATTAATAGATCACCATCGATGATACATAATATTGGATTGACATATTCATTTAGGTAGGTACGTACCTTTAGGAACTTCCGATATGACACCGTTTGAGATGATTTACTAATCACATTTACAAGTTACAATGGAGATTTTTAAATCACATACCTATATTCTCCCAATGTCAATAATTATGATACTGCATTTTTTCTCGGAAACTAAAGCAAAAATTCCAATGTCGAAGATACTCAATTAGCAGAGCGAAATAAAATATAAACCATGTACTCCGAAAAGTAGCACGGCATTGTTATGTTTTGTTTCCACTGGCACTGACTAGAAGTTATCTTGGCATAAAAACATTGAAGCGTCGGGCCTATCTATGGTGTCTTGTTTTGAGAATTTCTGAAAATGTCATATCCTGACCCAGAGTTGTCACATACCATATTCATGTATTTCATTTTGATACACACAATATTCTAGAGGACTAATAGATGACACGCGGTATAGTAACTGAGAATGAACATACCTTTTATGGAGACATATTTATAAAAACAGAATGAGTTTTGTTTTCTATGATTTTTGATGAATTATCTATCCATCTATCCATTTCATCGTAGGTCATGCAGTGGCAGAAATGGAGACGACCAAACCGCCAGACCGAACCCCGCTCAACCACCTGCCCACCGAAAAACACCCTGTAGAACTCGACCCCGACCTGCTCTCCACCGAGGAAACCGACAAAGACGACAGGCGATCGACGGTGAGGAACTCAGAGTAACTAGTAAAAAATAGTTATTTATGCACCAAGGTGTATCAAATAACTACTAATAATACTTGAAGTCATCTCCAAGACATTTTAATATGATCAAACAGATCAAATTACTTGGTACATGTCTCGGATATATCTATATATATTTCCATCTGCAGCCTTCTCAATTATTACTACATATCCTGGAAGAAAGTGGATAGTACAAGATATCAATAAAATTATGCTTAAAGGGTAACTCAGATCTTATCTTATCTGAGGATGGACATACAGTATAAGCCACTTCCAATGGAAACAACCCTGTATCTTACGTAATTGTTGGGTAAGGATCCTGAAATTTGCTGGAGCGAGAGATATACACTGCTAAAGAAGGGAAGATTTGTATTTCGTGCACGAAATTTATTCGAAATATTCATAGCAGAGCGCTTTCGACTGTTAAGTCGTCATCAGTGCGTACTCGTCAGGTTATCAGGGATATTCTTCCATAAAAATATCTTTGGTCCAGTTTAAAACTAACGACATTTAAGTAAAATACGTTACAAACAAATTAAAATGTGTTTCCCAAAAGGGGGTGAAATATGGATTACATCTTGTTAAGCAGCCATTGTCGCTGCGACATGTCGTGCTTTGCACTTCAACACGACATGTCGCAGCGACAATGGCTGCTTAACAAGATGATCCATATTTATCCACATTTTAATTTGTTTGTAACGTATTTTACTTAAATGTCGTTAGTTTTAAACTGGACCAAAGAAATTTCTTGCACGAAATACAAATCTTCCCTTCTCTGGTATATTTTCACGTGCACACAGCCCAGCCACCCTCACTCATATACACTGCTCGCCAACATCCATGGAACCACCCCAATTTTCGGAAAATGATATTAGAAGTCAAAATAGGTTGAAAATCACTTCAGATTCGGAATCAGGACGCATAATTTTCTATCTATTCATATTTTTCCTGGAAATTTTTCAGTTCTGAAAAATTTGATTTTGTCGCACATTACGGAAGCACCCCCGTATCATGTACCAATTAAATTGATCTTAGTAATTACTATTTCACTCCACTTTGAGAAACCATGGACTTCTACCAGAGATGGCCAAGGTGTATATTAAATGTGTTTCACCACTAGCAATAAGCGAATTTCGATCATTATAGTTCCGTGAAACTGAAATAGTGACCTACTTCACTATGAAAGCTTCTTTTCAATTCTAATTAAAATCTAATAGCCATGACCATAGCAGCATATGGCAAGTCATTATTGATGAATTTATACTAGATTGGAGTGTCATGAGAACAGTGACTCATACCTTCAATGATTTTTTTTTTAATGAAAATTGAAACAAGAGGCCTAGTGTGCTAAGCATTTATTTGTATGTACATGCCTATACTTTTATGTTAGTTTGAAAAAAGTACCATTCTCTTTGAAATTTTCGAAAAAATTCAAGAGAAGTAATGTCATTTGAAAGAATTGCTGAAAGGAATCCTGATTGACGATAAATAAAAGTATTTGCATGTTTTATCAAAAACTAATCAAAGTGCTTTATTGCTATTTTATCAGGTTGCTTGACGACAATTCTATCCATGACGTGACGTTGAGCAAAACAAATGTTTGTACAAATTGATCAATAATCAACTCAAATGCAATTTGCAATTAGAGATGGTGCTCAATATAAACTTTCATGATACCAGGCGGCAAAAAACTTTATACATTAGTAATGTAAGAGCAAACACCTTTAAACAGCCCACTGAGCAAACTTATTGAAACATTCAATAGTCTGCGACAGTATATTAGAGATATTCCTTACTTTAGCCAATTCAAAAATATAATAAAAATGTATGTTCAAGAGGAAGAAGATGAACATAAAATGTATTTTGAATATTTGTTACTACATGTAGTTAATTTAGTAATATGTATTTTAGTATTTGTGACTTTTAACTTGTCAGTTTGAATATGTATTTTTTGTATCTTGTTCTGGTACCAGCGGATTAGGAAACAACTTTTGTTCAAATTGTAATTTTTATTGTATTGTTTGAATAAAAAGTACTTGAAAAAAAAAGGTAACAGAGTCGCCATATTGATTTGAGAAAAAAATGTCACCTGCGTTGCCATTTTGAAAACAAATTTCCACTTGTGATATGTCATTGGAAAGGGATTTTTTTTTGCTCTGTAGGCGACTGAATTAAATATCGCAGCGCCAAAGTGGCCGTGGTGAACTATATGAAAGTACTTTGTTCTGAAATGGTTCATATGCTTCTGTGTATTATTTATATTTTGTTTGTTTGTTGACTGTTTATTTGTGTACTCTTATGAATCGAGGGAGCTTTTCAGCAGATATTCGTTCAATAAAGTGTGCCTCACTACTTCAAATACAAATAATCCAATTTGGGATAACTTTAGTTTGCATTTCGTTCCCATTCAATAGTAAAATGAATATTGCAAAAATAAGTGGTGCAAATATGATGTTGAAATTCACAGAGTGGGTATTTCAGATGTATATATTGTATTTTTTTTTTTTAATTGACTCGGCCGTTACTTGATGGAAATCAATGGCAAATGTAAAAACTTCACAAACGATAAGATTTCCACAAAATTCTCCACTACTGGTACAATGAACTAAACTAACGTCGGCTTGCTTAACTTTTATATATCCTACTTTCCTGAAGAATTAGTTACCTGTGGCCAGGTACGATATATTGTAGTCGATTCATCTACTTACATGTGTTTATATGAAAGAGAAAAGTCCTCAAAGCAGGATGTATGTGCGAATAATTGATCTATCTCTGGTAGAAAAAATTATGTGCTTAGATTCCTTCTGTAACATCACTTCTGGGAATAAAATGCAACTGAATTCAGTCTTGTTTAGAGAATATATTCCAATTATACACTGATCGAAAACATCATTTTCTGTGAAATGCACGAAACTTTCATGAATAACATGTGAAGCCAAGCAATAATGATTCAAGATACTCTACTTTTTTAAAATTTATTTTTCTTTGAACGACAAAAGTACATTTTGTATTGGAATAGTCAGTCTAAAAGAATACATTACAAAGTAAGTAAGCCATATGGAAACAGTGAAATGAAAGCTATCCAGTATGCTGGACAGTTCTGACTGAATACAATTCATCGATGGAGTAAAAACAATGTTCTTACAGAAACGATTTCAAACCAAATTTGAATTGTTTAATTTCACAAGATGTTTTGATGTTTGGATTCTGTATCTTAATAACCTATTGACCAACTGAAAATACAATATTTTGGTTTCCTGAATTATTTTGATGATTTGCTTCATTTCCATAGAAAAAAATAAATACCAATTTATCGCATAATTTTGTGCCAACAAATTCCTTCAAAAACTGGGGTGAATATAAATGCCTGATCAATTTCCATAGATATCGAATAAGTATGAAGATTCATTTTCTTCAAATATTTCTTGATACAAGTTTGGCACACACTGTATATTGAGCACTTTGTATTCTCGGCCCAAGAAGGCGTAGTTTTCGATAATACAAAGCGTGTCAAACATGTAATATGAAATATTTGAAGAAAACGAATCTTCATTCTAATTCTACGTCTATGGACATGGATCACACATTCAATTTCACCCCTGTTTTTGAAGCAATGATTTGCACAAATTTATACAATGAATTGGTATTTATTTTTCTCCACGAAAACGCAGCAAGATAGCAAAACAATTCAGGAGACCAAAATGTTGTATTCTTAGTTAATCATTAGGATATGAAGATGAAGAATTTTGAAAAATCAGTGGCGCACAATTTATTGACAATATAATATTCGGTAGGGTGCCCCCGGGACTCCACTGGATTTCACAACTCCAATTTAATTATGGCTAAATCAGCCTCTCATGACAAAGAATATCATTGCCAAATTTCAAGCGAATCAGTGGAGGCATATTTGAGATATTCATAAAAAACAGATTTTTTCTAAAAAGTTTGCCACACTGTAACGTGAAAACTATGCTTTTCCGGACCCAAGTATATATAAAATAAATTTCATGTTTTCTCATGCAGAATCACCCCCTTGATTTTTTGCGCATAATTTCCGGACACCCTATATATTATTATTTTATACCTGGCAGCAAGGGTGTGAATTTCATTTTTCCTACGAGTATTGATATTGAGCAAATTCTTATGTGATTTGAAATCGTTCCTATTACTGTAAATATAAACTGCTAGTTCGTAGATATATAAACTAGCAAGGGTTAAAATTCAATGAGAAGTAAAAATAATTCTACATGAAGACATTTTGGAAGTACTGAAAATGCAACGTAACATATATTTTTATTCGATAAAGACATTTTTGGCTAAGGTTGAGTTGCCCCACAAACAGATGCCGTATCTCAATCTCTGGATTCAACCTCTGCATAGTATATACTACAAAGTTGTGTTCTGTCTAAGTTTTTAAGTTCCTGATCATATACTGAACAGAATTCAATTTAGATATCAAAAGTCCACAATGTCCATGCCAATTTAGATGTTCATCTACATGCAAGCCCAAGAATTTAATATGTTTATCAGTACTTAATAATGTTGTATCATTTATATTCACTTGTAAAGAATCAATTTTATTCTGAAAGTTATGAAATCGAATAATTTTTGTTTTCTGTGGATTCAAAAATAGGTCGTGATCACTGAAAAACTCAGAGGCATTAGATGAAGTAACTTTGCATTCATTTCTAAGCGATTCAGTGTTCATTGGCAAAATTAGTAAGTAGTACTGAAGAATGCAAACTCGAAAAATATCATAATGACTACTAAACTTTCGATAAAATGCATGAAAGCTTGAATGTAAACAATCATTCAAAGTACTTTCCATTGGTTACTTGAATATCCGCAAGAGGACGAATCGCTTATTTTTAATCAATTTCAAAGTTTTCGGCCTGAGTCAATTTCCGGTAGAAAATGATATTCGATTGTTTTTTCATGGATTTCAAGAAACTATTTTTTCGATCCGAATTTCGAAACCCTAACGTGAAAAACAACTGAATGACGCCCTGTCTGATGATTTCGTTGTTACCCGGTATCGTTCACCGACTTATAGACTCATCTAGACCGCCAATTCTATAAGGAAAAAGGTGAGCCACTCAGGAGATCAAACTGGTGAAACGGATATGTCATGTTACACTCATGAACTCCAGTAACATAGGCGTATCGAAAGAAAAATGTTGGGAGGGGTATACTATGGAATGTTGTTGAACCATACATAAAGTAGTGAGAAATGAATGAAATATGCAGTATTTACGTCTCATAGCATCCAATACTCAGATTTCAGAACTCTATCCAAAAACGGGCACTTGCCTGAAAGCATCAGAAAGTTGTTTGGTATGAAATAGTCTGAACATATTATTCCTGAATGGCTAAGATCCAATGGTCTCCTAATAGCGTCAAACCAATCATTTCTCTTATCAATACGAATTCTAGAGTCAATATTGAATAAGTAAACTTTTAATCCAAAATAGATTAGCAGGTATGGCACCTTACACCTGAACTCAAATTCTTTACAGCTGAATGATTATACAAAGCATGCATGATTCCATTCGATCTGAATACTTGCTCAACTGATGGAAGCAAATTATAATAATAAATTATAAATCACCCACAAACTCACCGATGAAAAGAAATACCTTCAATCATGGAATTCTTACAGCATAGAACAAACCACTTCATATTTCCTAGAATTGGCGAAAATAAAAAATAAATATCACTTAATTTGAAATTATATTCTTAATAAGCCGGCCACTGACATAAATAAAACACTTGAGACGGCGCCATCCACCTTGTCGCCGCCTATGAACAAAATGAATACTAGGTTGACTTCGATACCACGTCAAAGTCATGAACGACTGCTTGGGGTTCTTGCGTGTTGAGCAGAAGCGTTTCCAGGCGAGCAACTGACCCTACATTTTCGGGTTGCTGTGATATGACTTCTACACACAGTATCAGTTACCTTGGAGTATCTGGATTACAATTCCAACTAGACCAAATAAGCAATGGTGTCCCTTGACTGATGAAAAGCTTTTGATACTGTATTATTAGAAAACATGAATTTACTAGGCATACGTGGTCAATGTTATGAATTATTCAGGAACTATCTTGCAACAAAAAACAGTTTGTTTGTAAAAATAATACATACAGTCCTGAAAAAACTGTGAAATGTAGAGTGCCTCAGGGTTCCATTCTGGGTCCTAGTCTATTTTCACTATACATTGACTCAGTTTCCTAGGTAACTCTATATGGTGAAATAAAACTCTACGCCGATGATAAGGTCTTGGTATATGATGGTAATAATTCGTTCACTATAAAAGAAGAGATTCAAACCGATCTGAACATATTAGAGCACTGGCTAATTTGGACGGTTGTTAATCCATACATAAGTAATGAGAAATGAATGGAATAATATGCAGTATTTAGGTTTCATAGCACCCAATTCTCAGATTTTAGAGCTCTATTCCAAAAACGGGCTTTTGCCTTACCTTACCAATACAAATTCTAAAGTCATTATCGAATAAGCAAACTTTTAATCCAAAAATAGATTAGCAGGTATGGCACCTCACATCTGAACTCAAATTCTTCACAACTGAATGATTATACAAAACATTCATGATTCCATTTGATCCAAATACTTGTTCAACTGATGAAAGCAAAATAAGGTAATAAATTATAAATTACCCACAAACACCGATAAGAAGAAATACCCTTTAGTATTATTGATCATGGAATTCTTATAGCAAAGAACAAACCACTTCATAATTCCTAGAATTGGCGAAAATAATTCGAAAAAATCGATATCACCACCTAACTTTGATATAATATTTTTATTAAGCCGATCACTGATATAAATAATACTTCTAAAGACGAATACGTTGATTTCGATACCACGTCAAAGTCATGAATGATAGCTTGGGGGTTCTTGCGTGTTGAGCAGAAGCGTTTCCAGGCGAGCAACTAACCCTACATTTTATGGTTTCTGCGATATGACTATTAACAGTCTCGGTAGAGTAATAAGTCGATGGTATCGTTATTTAGTCCGAGGCGAGGAGGACCACCTGCGACATCCACTTCACCAGGCCCGAGCACGACTTGGAGGAACTCAACTGCACCAAGCTGATCTTCGAGGAATTCCTCAAACACAAGAGCGCGTGCCTGAAGAACGAGCAGATGGTCGACAAGAACGCGAGGAACTTCATCAAGATCAAGAAGGACATCTTCAAGCAGGCGAACGGAAGCGAGGCTGTGGCGAAACGACCGCTGACCGCGTGAGTACTAATAATAATAATTATTATTGATGTCCTCATTACCACACACTACCCAGATATCACAAGTATAGCATCGGATATTCGGAACGTCGTAAAGACGTCCATTTATAGTACGATGGACGTCCATAGGACATACGATGTTACAAAACCGTTTCAGGTCTGAACTGGACCATTTAGGGTCTTGAAACGTAAATATAACGGAGGTGAAGAATATTGTTTTCTTCAATTCGTTAGGTGCCAAAGTTAATTATTTCCAACAGCAATCGGAGCAAAACAATTGGTTTTCTAATGGAATATTTTTTCCTATTAAAGAATCGACACTAGAAGTTTGATGAGAAATTAATTTAGCAAATGAACAGCTAACAAATCGCTCTCTTTATGTTGAATATAGGGGACACAAATCACCTTCTTTTATAGCCACAAGTGGAGCACCTCAAGGCAGTAACTTGGCTCCATTGTTGTTCCCTCTCTATATTAATGATATTACGCATAATATATCTAGTAAGATACTTCTCTTCGCTGATGATGTGAAAATTTTCAGATATATCAACTCAATTACTGATTGTCAAATGCTTCGAAAGGACATCAAGAAAGTGTCACTCAGCAACATATTCACTGAAGGTCAATATGATTGAATTTAATTACATTATAAACGGCAACAGTCTCGAAAAACACAATCTAACGAAATATCTTGGTGTCTTTTTTGCCTCAAAACTTCTTTTCTTGCCACACATCACTAAAATTATATCAGCTAGAAGAATGTTAGGCATGATATTCAGAAATTGTAAAGACTTCCAGAATCAAGAAAGTTATATAAATCTTTTCAACTCATATGTGCGATCGCGGTTAGAGTATGGTTGCCTGATATGGTCCCCTATATATTCGACACATAGTCAGAGTCTAGAGTCAGTACAGAGATTATTCATGAAATATGTTGCATTCAAAATTGATGGGATATACCAGGGCCTACTGTATCTCACCGGGCCGTAGTCTATCCCCTCTCTCTCGACGCTGACGTCACACTAGTAGGTTGAGATTTCACATCAGTCCGTACTGGTACGTTCGTAATTGATAGGCTATAGCTCATTTACTATGAATTTTAGAAGCACACTCAATCGAGACGAAATGATCCCCAACATAATCCTCAACTTTTGGTGAAAAAATGAATCCAATAGGATGAATCAATACCGAGTTATGGCGTTGTAACGAAATTCCATTTTATTGAAAATCAGGACGTTGTACTACAGAATACTATTTTTTGCAAATTTGGAATTGCAATAGGATGAAACTAACTCAATATATCAAACTACGATAATGAATCAATTGAATATTGAAAAAATTGTAGAGTTACCTACAATGAGTCCGAAAGAAATTAAATATAAAGAGCGCGTAAAAAATGGGCCGTTATACCTACCTACCCAAATTTCGCTGTATTACGATTTCGCGGTAATTCCTTGGACCGGTAAAGGGCGATATACTTTTTATTACTCATTTTATTTCTAAATGACGTATGGTTCAGACCAACTAATATTGGTATCTGAAAAATTCGAAACAATATTTCTACAATGTAATTCACAACATAAAGTTTTGGAGAATTTAGCAGAAATTAAAATCAATTCCCTTCTCAATTATTCAGAGAATCAATGTTGCAGTTGTGGGTCTATTGATGGAATCAGCAGAACATTCTCTAAAACCATTTAAAATGTTCTGTTGAACAAATATTGCAAAATAAAAAAATATTAAAAAAGAAAATTCACTAAACTTTCAGGATGAGATATAGTTCAGATTTCAATTTTTAGTTTGTGATTAAGATGATGCATATATATTTTTTGTTATTAGTGTATTTCATTTTGTGATATCTATCAATTTTTTTCATTTTGTTATGTTGATCATTTTCACAGTTTATTTTGTTTGGTTTTGTTTGTGTATAAGGAGTCAACGTTTTTTTTTTTCATTTTTCCTCATTCATTCATATATCGTTTTTCTGGGTATTTTGTTATTCAGTTCATTATATTCATTTTTATATCTCTCATTGTTGAGATACATATTTTTTCAATTAACTTTGTTAGGTTGTGTTCATATGAACTGCACATATTTTGTTCTTTTTAATGTTGATAGTTTGCAAATATATTCAAATCAAATTTTTTTCATGAATTTAACGTTATCATTCAAATATATACTCTTCAGCAGAAAATAATTGATACCGAATAGGCGTTTTTGTGTAATAACACACTGGAGTGATGGGATTTCTAACGTCATCAAAGTGCGTCCTGATCATCTTTAGAGATAAACGCTGAACCCTTCGAGATAAAGTGGATGTGTATTATACCGATTTGTAGGCAATCAAATTTCCTACATAAAAGTCAGTGACAGCATATATCCATACTTGATAGGATTAGCATGGGAGGCGTCCGAACTTTTTGCACTATTCTGTAATGAACACCTGAATCATCGTTCTACTTGAATTGAAATATCGGTTTGTTGTTGGCCCTTGGGAATTTAAAAAAAAAACTCAGACAATCTAGATACTATGCGAAATCTTTTCATGATTGAATCATTTCTGTGAATTGAATATTGGAATTTTGGTAGCTGTTTGAAAAAGGACAATTCTGAATGGCGTCAATTAATTTTGATATGCCATATTTCTGAAATTAATGATCGTAAATCAGTGAAATTTGATTCATCTTCTGGAGAATTCTTTTCTGTACATATTTGACCTCTTGATATTTTTTGCTAACTGTGACCGTTTTCCCGAGGTAAATCAATGGAACGGGAGAGACAATTTCCACTGCGTTGATTTTGTCCCTACTAGTGTGACGTCACGAAAGCGATGCTCCGGCCCGGTGAGATAAAGTAGGCCCTGGATATACCCTGAACAAGGTATAGACAACGGTTCACTGCTGAATAGATTTTCGTTACTCTCTCTCGATCTACTGTCACAACTCAACTTCCATGTACCTCGCTTGAATAACCGAAATGAAACATGTTTCTATCTAACTACACCAAGAACAAATATAATAGCCAAGTCTCCCGTATACCGAATCTGTGAGAATTTTAATAATATCTGCGATCAAATAAATCTATTTTCAATATCAATAGGATGTTTCAAAAATTTTTCCAGAAATACTCTCCTCAGAATTGAGAATTTGTGGCATTTTTTATGCCATTATATTCTGAGTCCCACTCTATATATATATTCGAAAGTGCTGAGGAAATTTCGAATCATATATGTGATTTTCAATGATGAAATTTTCTGAAGGCAACATTCTTTAATTATTTTATAATTTTTATTTTTGATCATTATAGGTATATTAAACAGTAACGAAAATTAAATTCGAAAATTGTTTTTCGACGTATTTCAAAGTTAGAAATATTCACAAGAAATACATATTTCTTCATTTGATTCATTGGTTACGTGTATGCAGCTCATACACATTTTCACCTATATTAATATTAGCTCATTTTGCAGCATACCGAAAAAATACGAACGAGAGAATGAGAAAGTCGGACTGAAGAATGGAATGCCCCCCGAAAAGTAAGCATAAATCTTTTAGTTACTTTGAATTTCCTGTGTTTTACATTTTTATTTCGATTTTGCATTCCACTGAATTTCCGATCTGAGAGGAAAAGGAATAAATCATATTAGTGTAGACCCAATATCGACATCGTAAAAATGTGTATAATTTAACACCATGTATGTTGGAACGTGGAATTTTTGTACTGAGCAAACCCAACAGTTAATTTTGAATTACTAGTCTGTTATTTCCAATTTTTATAGGTTAATGATCTGTTATTATTTATAAAAAGAAATTGAATGAATCTTACAAGGCACATAGATTCATACTATGAACATACAGAGTGGCAAGTGGCAGTCGGCAGACATGGATTTCGAAATAGAACAAAACTCAGACTACTACAAAATGATTTTTTTTTTTTCATTATTTTTTCCTGTTTTATCAACAAGGGTAGTTTGAGTTCACACAATTTTGAACACAGTGTTCTCCAAATGGCGCCTCTCACACTCCAAACACCGAGTAAACCTTCTTTGAAGCATTTCCACAGGAATTGCGGTGATTTGGTCTCTAATGTTATTTTCGAAGGCTTCCAGGGTAATGGGATGATTGTTGTAAACCAGGGATTTTAGGTAGTATTCCCGTGAATGTGCCTCGTCACGGAAGGAAACGATACCGCCTAGAGGCAACGCAGCTGTAAAGCACCCGTTCTTCTGGTATACCTACATACTGTGTTTCACTTTGCTCCTCTCCACCCCTGTACTTTCGTATTCCTAGGACGATTTTTTTTTTCTCATTATGTACTACCCAAAATTATCTACTTTGTCGAGCAAAAAAATATCAATCACAATTTTTTAGCCTACTGCGATCACTAAAACTCCAGCAAAGATAAAGATACAGATTAGGCATTTTTTACCAAAATTTTGATAAAGGCAATCGATCTGTACTAGTCACAAAATAGTAGATTGTTTTATTAGGATCAAAAGTGACACTTTGTTTGACAAGCGAAATTTGGAATTGTGAGGCTGAGCGTCTGGCAAAGCCGAGCGAAAGCAAAGTCTGCCATTTGTCAGATTATTATAATAATATGAGTAAGTAGATAGAAGCAAGACCTCAGACTACTTTACTTTGTTAAAATTTGTGTTGACATGCATCATGTCTTCAGAGACTACAGGCACGAGTTCAATACTACCCGAAACGTGGATGCCGTGCAATGCAACAAATAATCTCTGTGGTGAGAATATTCTACCTGCATTTACAGATGAGGTTCATTCAATTTTCATGGATGTTCGGATTGTAGTTTCAATACAAATACAACCACAAAGTGACCTATTTGTGTATCATATTGAATCGATGAATTCATTTGGACCTGGTGTCAGCCCTAATAGCAAATGCCGCGTCAGTGCCAGGTACAGGAAAAAGAAGTGGAAAATGTTATGTTAGTGAGCATATCAACAATAATAAAAGCGATTATGTATTTCTCTTCATATTTCACTGTGTTCGGCTCGGTGATCAAATGAAGATAAACAATATCGTTGTGTGAGACAAAAATGCAATACAGGCCGTGATATTATTCAAAAACAAGTTAACCAATCAATCAGAATGTGAATCTTGAAGGCTTTCCTGATCAAAACAAAAATACTTGATTATATGATGTATTGGGCATGTATTGCATGGGTATGAGATGCCAAATCTGCCGAAATCGGAAGCAAATCAGGTATGCGTCCCAATCCAAATAACCAGCCGTAACATTGTTGTTTATTCTTGATGACCTCTAGTACATCCTTTTTATTTCCTATGAGCTAAAGTTCAACTATGTTTGTGTCAGTAATAGAAACGTCAATTGAAGAGCTAATTCTGGTATTAATATGGACGACTTTTGTGTCGGTTGCAGATAAACTCCTATATCAATTCTCAAAACAATATATCATGAGGAGTGTTTCAATAACAGTTCGCAGAGAGATGCCACCAGAAGAACTGAGGAGTGTTGAAAATAACGTGCGAAAGAGATATGAAAAGTGAATGAAGGAGATTTGATTGAATAACATAAATCTGAACTTGTTAGAGATTATGGGATTGCTGCTCAAACTCTCATCATGTTTTCTGGGAAATTTACGGTATTCTGAGGCTCCTTTTTATCGTGGGCACATTTCAGGTACCTCATAATGCAATAACCGACGCTAGAATTCGATTTCGATCGGTAGTTTGGCCGCGGGGAGTGATACTGAACCTTGAAGGAAAGGCATGCTGCACACGATCTATGAGCGGGCCACTATACAAAAAAACTCCTCTTTCGAATCTCCCCATTTTCAGCAAGTCATATTGTTAAAAAGATCAATTTAAGTACATATGAGGCACGACAAAAGTCAGTGTAATTTTGGCACTGCTAGATTTTAGCAGAACATTTGACACTATTAACTTCAAATTAATGTGACTAGGAAGAGATTATTGGACATAGAGATAACCGTATAAACGTGTTTCGGGCTTTCGACCCTCATCAGTACGTTGAAAAGAAGTGCAAAGGATAGGCAGCACTTGGTAGAGAACGAAACAACAAATAAACGGAGTCAACAAACAGAAGCCAGCCGCACATTTGTGATTTCGGTCAGCAGACCCTGAGATCTCAGAGAAACAGCTAACGTCACCACGAAGGCAGGTATAGGTACCCGCGTGACATCCGTGTCCAGTAGTACAAAAAATAAGATGCAAATATTCTCGAGGGAACTGTAAAGTAGCTAGGAAGAGATTATTGGACATAGCCCTCACAAATATCTTGCACTATATAGGTTTTTTTAGAAACGGCTGTTGGCCTTATACAAAATTACCCAAAAAGGGAAGATTTGTAGTTCGTGCAAGATAATTTATTCAAAATATTCCTAGCAGAGCGCTTCCGGCTGTTAAGTCATCATCAGTGCGTACCTGTGTAAGTAAGTAATCTGCTTTTTGCTATTGGAAAGAAATTGTAATTGAAAATTCTAAAAAAAAATTTAAAAAATATTTTTGATAAACTTTTTTGAAAAATTTTTTTTGTAAATTTGTTTGATATTGAAAAAGTAAAAAATTAAAAAATAAATTGGTGATTTGTTACTTTTTGATGAACTTTTGATTTGAAAAAGACATTTCAATAAAATCGAAATTTGAAATTGTTAAATATGAATTTGGAAATTGATAAAAGTGAGGTTACTTACTCGTCAGGTTAACAGGGAAATTCGTCCATAAAAATATCTTTTGGTCCAGTTTAAAACTAACGACATTGGACGAATTTCCCTGTTAACCTGACGAGTAAGTAATAAGCTCACTTTTATCAATTTCCAAATTCATATTCAACAATTTCAAATTTCGATTTTATTAAAATGTATCACATTTCAACTTCGCTGACTCCGTCTATGGTCCGAAATTAACAGCTGTATATAAATACAAAAATTGCAGAATTCCTGTTTGAGGCTGATTTGTGGTGTGAGAAGAAATCAGAGAATATCACATGAAAACACAGATTGGATGGTTAAGTATGCAAAATAGAAGAGCTGCCACCTTATACCACAAAATTGTTTTATTTAAAATTCCTACATATTTGCCCTACAAAATATCATTCAGGACACCCAAATTTAAAATTGAAATATTCAGGCGATCCTTCACACTATTGGCTATTGTCAACCGAAAGGCTACACACTGCAATGCTCTCCTTTATCAGGGTTAAGTGGAACAGCATTTTCGTAGTGAAGCCACTGTTCCTCTACAGAAAATGAACTTCGACGTTTATTTTCAGAAATCTTTTTTGTTTTTGTTTGTAAAATGAATATTACTTGAAAATAATAAAGACGAGTTTTTTCTAGAAAAAGTGACGAATGCAGCCCACCGAACATACGCCATTATTATGTGATTAATAATTTTTAGTAATTTGTAGTGATTGAATCGTGAATATTTAAGGTTGAACGGATCACTCACTATAATCGCAAACACTGAATAATTTACAGAGTGATTCTGAAACATTTGAAATCTCAATTTTCTCAAATAGAAACTTTATTTTCCCTTCTCATGATTCAATTCTATTATGAAAATGAACCCTGATTCTAATCAACTTCCTTATAACCAAATCCCATCATAATAACTGCCTGTAATTCTGAATTTTTCCATTGAGCTGTGCAAATCATCTAGCGACAAATGAGTATTATACCCAACATGAGCCGTATTGGTCCTATTTATGGAATATCGAAATTATGGGTTGTTGGTATAGGAAAGTAAATTAGAACTAATTTAATAACAGTATCAACTATAATATTTAAAAAAAAAGATAAATACATAACATTCACACAACAATAGACAATGTAGGTTTACTATTATTTTCAAATATATATTGATTGGTTGGGATGAGTTCCAAATCAGCTAATAAGCTGTTAAGAGAACATTGTACCCATTGGGTGGTTTCACATACAGAGGTGTTCATTGAGGTCAGTTTTAAATAATGAATAACTATTTTTAATTTCTGCTAGTAAGTTGTTATAATTTTCAATTGCTTTCGAGATTTGATTATTATGAGCCACTGTGGTTCTAACTTGTGGCAAGTATATTTGGTTTTTTCCTCTTGTATTATGAATATGTATCTGATTTACTAAGGTTAGTGTGCTATTACAATTTTGTTGATTATTGAGTATTCTATAATTAAATTCACATTGTTCCAATCGCAAGACTAATTCTAACGGTACTATTTTTGTTTCTCTATGCACAGTATTTGTGGGTGTTCTCAAATCGAATTTGAATAGTATTTTCACTATTTTATTTTGTAGTGTTTTCATCTTATTGAGAATATGTTTTGATGATACTCCCCAGGTGGTAATTGAGTATCGAAATATTGACAAGCAGTAGGCATTGTAGAGCATGATTCTGTTTTTGTTGTTGAGGTAGTCCAGACATCGTTAATGAGCTCCTATTATGGGAACAAGTTTGTTATGTTTATTATAGTTGAATGCATCATCAAGCACCAATCCCAGGTTTTTTGTATGCTGTACTCTACCAAAGTATCACTGATTTTTATATTGTATTCAAACGATTCTTCGAATTGAATCATGAGAAGAAAAAATGGGGTTTCAATGTTCGCCATCACATTCTGGATACACTTTTCTGCATACCCTGTAAATTATGCTGTAGTTGTGATTATGGTGAATGGCGTATGTTCAATAAGCCGCATTTGTCACGTTCTAGAAAAACTCCAATAGCTCAGAAATGTTTCCTTTTACGTATAGGGTATGATACATGAAACCTATTCAAAATCAAGAGGGAAATTCAAAAATGTTGTGAAATACAGGGAGTGTCCTATTGAAAACTCGATTGAAAAGAAGAAAGATGTTATCAGTTTTGGAGAAACCGGAAGTTCAACAATAACGAAAATATTTCGATTGTATTCTTCATTTTTCCTTCATCGACCCTACAAATTTTCAGAATAATGCCACTATCAGTGCTCCAAATATTGATCACATTAACTCATCAAGATTCATTCTGTTTATTATTCGATATTAGGTATGGAAGCCATATGTACAGTCATCCTCAGAGATCATGTTGCGGTTGGACGGTGTTAGCGCTCTTATTGCAGGAGTTATTAAGAATGCTATCATCGTCCATGTGCGACATGTTTTCTGAAGACGACTGTACGTCAAATGCAACAAAAATGAACAGTGATCAATTTGAAAACTAAATGTAAAAGGTGATTTGAATAAAATACAGTTCTTTTTTCTTCTTCATCACAGGTCTCAACTATCCACATTGGCGAAACAAAATTGTGATGATGAGCACGAGGTTGAAGAAGCAACAAGTAAGTTCCATTTTTTTAAGCGCAATACGTTCTTCCATAGCCAGACGAAGCTTGTAACCGATTTTTTGCTACATGAAATGCTAACTACAAAATATTCCTCTTTGAAAAAAATATAAATTTTAGAGTCAACGTCATTGGAATCATGATTTTGATGCATGCGAACATCGCTTAATTTTTCACTCAAACTCTACATTCTTGATATATCTTGAAGGTTGCAGAATGAACGTAGATTTCCTTTTTAGACGTCTGTCAAAGTCGTGTGGGCACCTGTGAGCATCACAAAGAATCTCAGAAGTGTGATTGTACCTATTGTGAAGTATTCGGAACAGTAAGTATCTATTTAGTGAACATTACCTCCATTCAAATACTAGGAATGAAAACATCCTGCAACAATATTCCATTATATGGAATAAATTAACATACAGATGTAGACAAAAAATTGGCGGCATATAAAATGTCCAATGCATTGCACGCTATTGAAAATCAAGTTTCCATCTGGACTACTCTACATTGTTTTGTCCCTACTTCTTATCTAAAACCAAAGATTACTGAATCATCTGTAGTCTATGCTGAAAATCTTCTCTGCTTTAATCAGGAAGCAGGCTCACTGTCAGTGTTGCCATCTCAACGATTTTGTATCGGATTCTTGCTTCTTCAGGGTAGGTCAATGCGATATTTGAACTTGCTTGGACCGGCCACCAGGTTTATTGATTGCCTGCAGCCGCCTTATATCAATCTCGTGCTTGATACGCCAATTCGTTGAGGGCGGACGAAGTTTGACTTCTTGTAGTGCCCAGTACAGGCTCTGGTCCCCAGAAGGGTGTCGCGGATCCGATTCTAGCCAGCTCGTCTGCTACTTCTTTCCTGGGCACCCCCCTTGTGACCCAGAACCCATACTAGTTCGACTTCCTTAAGTTCGGCTAGTTTCTCAAGAGCATCACCGCATTTCTGTGCCAATGTTGAGCTTGGTTTGGGGTGGCAGATAGCTTTGAGCGCTTGACTATCAGAGCAGATGTAAATCTTGGCGCCTCTTTCCCCTCTTGTCTCATTGCTTCTGCCAGAATAGCGAATACTTCAGCCTGAAAAATGGAGTGTATTTTCCTAGGGCATAGCTCTCTCTTATACCTCTTCCTTCTAGATGAATTCCTACTAGACTCCCTGGGCGAAATCCCACTCTGTCTTTCCATTGTTCCCTAGTAGTAAGGGTGAACCTTCTATTCCATCTCAGCCTATTTTGAGCGTTCTCCACTCTCAGGGTGGAGATAGAAATGTCCTGATCCACCCATTTCGCAATTTCAGTAGTTCCTCCAGAGATGCACTTGACATCGTCCTCATTGCTCCTGTAATCGCCAGGCAGGCCATCCTCTGAACCTTACTTAGCTTTCGACTAATTGTCCTGGTTTCTGCACCTGGCCACCACACAGCTGATCCATGGTGTAATTATAAAATATGACGCATCTTCGTATACGTCATTGCGAGTAAAACAATTGCTCGCAGTCTGAGCCCTCAGTTGTCAATTCGTCCGAGTCGCCATGATCATTTTGGTGCGAGTATAGACTCGCAATGACGTTATGCGCAGGAGTTGAGGAAATCAGGGTTCTGTAGTCCAGAAAGGAACAACTATAATTCCTGTAGTCATGTCCCTGATAAGTTTTTGTAGGGTTGGTAAGATCATAGAATAAGGGGGAAAGGCAGAGAAATGAAATTCCGACCAATCCAAGGTAAGGGCGACTATAGCCAATGCATCTGGATCCCTGTGCCAGGAATCAAAAGATTTTAATTTCTTGTTCAATCTACTTGCCAAAAGATCTATGACAGGATATCCGAAGTTCTTAACAATTTCATCAAAAGCTTCCTGATTCAGTTCGCATTCAGTTTCCGTTTTTAATTTTCTCGACTCTGTATCTGCCTCAAAATTTCTTGAGGAATTTATATAGGGAGCTAATATCCAAATGTTGTGGACTTCGCACCATTTCCAAATGTTTTTGGATAATTCATTAAGTCCTACCTAACGAATACCACCCATCCTATTAATATATAAGATTGCCGTTGTATTGTCTATCTGTAATAGGATGTTGCAATCTTGAATATCTTCTGCAAAACATTTTAGTCCGAAAAAAGCTGCCCTTAACTATAATTAATTAATGTGTGTGACTTCATTTTCTGACCAGTGCCCATGGACTTTCTTTTTCCCACAGACTACTCCCCAAATTGTTGGAGAAGCATTTGAATAAATCGTGAGAATATGACTGATTACTGATATTATCGTGACTAGTGAAGATATGATCAATCCACTATTTTATATCATCTTTACTCCTGTTGGAAATTCCCCCTAGATTATTTTCAGTGCTAAATATTTGTCTCTTTCAAAGGCTTTGTATATACCCTGACATACTTTATAGCAGGGCTAACTGAAATAGACAGACATTTTTTGAGCAAGTCTGCAATTCTTTTTCGTTTTTCATCTGGGAGAGAAATGGTCATTCTGATAGAATCGAACTGAGAAAACCTAGAAATTGGCAAACTTTTGACGGTAAGGGTTTACTTTTCTCCCAGTTAATGAAAAAACCTAGACTGGTCAGCGGGGAAACAATTTCTTATATTTTCGGTAAAGTTTCAAGAAGGGTCTCCAAAGTTCATCTAGGTAAACCACTGACATAAAACCTCTTTCTCTTAAAGATGAAACTACTGGCTTCATTATCTTTGTAAATGCCGAAGGAGCAGTACGTGAGGCCAAAAGGTAAACAACAAAATTCATACATTTGGTTGTCAAATGGGAAGCTAAAAAATTTTCTCGATTTTTTTGGGACGTTTATCAAATCAAATCATCTCTTAGAAATTAGTCTACAAGCTGTACGTCTATCCTCTACTTCAAAATGGTCTGCAGAAATAAATGAATTCAGCTTCTTCAAATTGAGCACTAGACGAAACTTTTCATTAGACTCTTTCACCAAAACAATGTTGGATAGAAATTGGTCCTGACGAGGAGAGAAGGTTCTGGTAGCCTTTATTGATAAAAGATGTTTAAGTTCCACTTGGATGGCAAATTTTTCCTCATGAGACCATATTGTTTCTTTCGTTGCAATTTGTTGTGTAACTGTTTTCTTGAAAGTTATGAGATAACCTTTCACCCATAATAAAACTCGCAGGTCCTTCTAGACCCCAAGGTATCAACTCAGGCTGCTAGCCCTGGAGCCTACCTGGGTATGAGTTAATGTTAGTACCTCCTCCCCCTGGTGGGACGTTGGCTGTTGTAGTTGTCTTTCCTCGCTGAGTGAGGTACTTGACGAGTTTGTTCCCGAGGCTTGGCTCGTCCTCCACCTCTTTGATTTGATCTCTGAACGAATGGCCGTGTGGGAGGAATCTAGTAGTTTAAATTCTCCCTTTGGGCTGATATTGGTGCAGTTCTCTTGTTATTCAAATCCAAGCCAAAACATTCCATTGCCGTATCTGCTTCAATTCTGTTCCCTAGATTATCCCCGAATAGCCAACCATCAGGATTCCCTTCCGTGAAAACTTCTTTTAAATTGCTGTTGAATTCTAAGGACATCAGATTTAAAAAAATTTGTTCTAAAATTTGTTCTAAAATTTGTTCTATCCGTCATTCGGTTGCCCCCTTACGAGCAACCCTCAAAAGTCTTCGAAAGTCTTGTGCGAGCAAGGAATGACGGGGGCCTTACCTTTTAACGTGTGATCCCAAACACTTTCTTGGGCCATCAGAAAAATTTCTGCAGTCGACGGGGATCGAACCCACGACCGGCAAGCGAATGCGAATTAGAATATAGACACTCTGTCCGCACGGCTACCTGGCCACATATTCCTTCTGGATTCGGACTGTTGCCAGTGGATGTCTGTGAGAAGTCTGCTAGCATCACTAACTGTTTCAATTAGTTTCCGTTTGGTCTAATCCCCCCACACTTCTGAACCAAGTAACACTGTGTGAGTTTCTCCAAATGCTGGTTCCCCCACAAAGGCTGGCTCCTATTTGCGCCTGCAAGGCACAATGTCTGTCATCCCTTTTTAGTGCCACCTTACAGCTACATCTTGGTGAATAATGTCTCCCACTCCTGCATTAGTTGGTGGTTTATTCCCAAGAAGATCTAAAATCTCCATACCAATAGGGGGTCCTGATTCTGTTCAGGGGTCCGACCTATAAATGAAGATCTTTTCATTTTCACTTGAGGCAGAAGCTACATGCAATTACTTTTTATTAGTGGAGATTCCACTAAACCCCAAAATGTTTATCAATCTATGTCAAGACTATGTCTCCTAACAAGGAGCAGGCATTTTCTTTATGGAATGGACCAGTATCATATCCACAGGCCCGCACTAGGCCAAAATCTGTTACCAAGTAAACCACTCTGCTGACAGATGGCACTACCTGACATACTTGAGTTGATTTTTCCACCACCTATTCAATTGTTGTTGAATAGGTTGAATAGGTGGTGTAGTACCACTCTGTAGTGTATAGACGTAAGGGTCTGTACGTGTGACTATAGATGGCACCGCCATACAGTGTGTGTCGCGATCTCTAGATCCTACCTTAGAGCTTTGCCACTAGATGGCTACAACATGACTATAACTTCATGTTATACCCTGCGTCTTCGAAATGGGTGATATACCCGAAGCGTAGAGTTGTCCCAGTTGTCAGCAGACCGAGAGCGGATGATGAGAGCTGGTGGGTCGAAACAGTACTGTCTCGCTCCTGCTGACAATTGGGGCAACTCTGTTCATCCTGGATCTCTCAGTTATGAGATCTAGCAGTTGGATTGCGTATGAGATCTAGCAGTTGGATTGCGTATTTATTCCCAGTTTTTTTTGCTCTATCCTGTTCGTCACTTTCGTTGACTGAATCTTCCCGACTTGCCTTATTAGCAAGATAGATCTTCAAACGTGATTGCAGAGTAGAACGCTTCATATTATGTCGTCGAGCAGATTCACTGAGACCGGTTTGTTGTCTCAAATGAGCATAAATTGCGTGCTTCATTGCTTGTTCGTCTATTTTTCTGTTAGTTATTCTTTTATAAAATCTCGGCATCTGTTAATTGAATAAGTTATTTCCATGAAATGAATTCAGGTGGAGCATTCAGCCACCGAAAAGTGAGGTAGATTCGGCCAGCCGAATGCACCTCACATTGGTGTGGCTGAATGCTCCCCACTTGCCCTTTCCAACTAATATTATATGCAGATATTGTGTCGACAGAAATATAGGTTGTATTTGGTTTTCATGTATTTGGTAACACAATAACATGCTTTTCTAGAAAAATCCAGAAGTCCATGACGAAAATCGAGCCACAAAAAACAATATATTATTCAGTACACAAACTA